CTGTAGCAAACCCATAATACAGCGAGGGAGCAGCTATATATTTTTTTCTAACAGGGTAGTAATAGTTTAGCTGGCTAATATGAGCTGTTACTGTGGCTGAGCTGGGACTCGTCTGCATGAGTCCAAAGGTCGGAAGTGCGCGCGCTGTTACAATCATGTCATCTCCGCATCCCATAGATACTATTTACTACACTTTTTTTCTCTGATTTTGAAAACTCTTCGCGATCGACTTTAGTGATCTAAAAGTCTCTATCGACGGGTTAGTGATTCCTGTAACGTACTGTTTTACGGTCAATGACATGAATACTAATCATCAGCTGTCTCACGAACGTAACAGCACTATCCCCAACATAACAAACCCATAACACAGCGAGGGAGAACTAAGTTACATGAAACAATCCCAACTACATATTTTACACCACTCACAAGGGAAAAGTCACTACTCACGGAGTGTAAGGCTAGCTTCCAGCTTCCCGCTACTTCTCTTTCAAGGTAGTGATGAAACGCGTTCTGTAGCACTGTGTGTTCGCGTTCGGCTACGGTAGGAATATGACGTCACAACATGGCGACCTTCATAGAAGGGGATTCCCGCGGTTATGGAGCTATTAATGTCTCATTCTAAGGTAATAAAAACATTACGGTTAATTAAGTAAGTTCTTTATACACCACTGAAAACATACTTATGGATGTCATATTGCATTTCTGTTAATAGATACTCAACTTTGTTACACATTGCACCTTTAACTGTTTTAATATCAGAGGTGAAACTGGAAGAACAGTATTTTATTAAACCTAATTTAATTTTCGTGTATAGGTGCAATCCTGCAGGCATCAAAAGAACATGGCAGCAGCTGAAAATGAAATATAAAAACATACTTCAAGCAGGTAAGCCTTGAGCATATCATAGGAGTAGAGTAGCTACCTCGCTTTACAAACATTTGACATATTAAATGACTAAATAGCATTCAGTGTCTAGCAGTGCAGCTGTCACGGTTGGTAAATCCTATGTCTTCTTCTCGTCTCGTGTTTCTGTTATTGTTGTGTGTGTGTGCGCTGATGGGGGGGCGTGCCGCTCTATCAGCGCTCATCAGCAATCATCACCACCAGCTGCAGTTAATCTTCTTGTGTATATATTCTCATCAACTTCTCATCTCCTTTGTCAGATCGTTGTTTGTGGTTCCCGGTGTGTTGTCTCCTGTCTCGCTATTCGTGTTCAGCTCTGGCCCTTGTTCTCTGTCATTTGGATTTGTTCATCGTTGGATTCACCACCACCATCACCACAGCACCCTGCACCGGACCATCGGATCCCCTGCGTCACTATCTCTGCCTGTTAATGGACTGTCTGTGTGTGTTCGTCAAGCTTATAATTAAATAGAGTTTAACTGCACTTGCTTCCTTGATTCATTCATGACAGAACGATCTGATCAAAGCATGGAAGCAGCGGAAGACTCGCAACGATCACTGAACGAGTTTGTGGGAAGCTGTCTACAACGGATGGACACACAGGAGAAGAACCTCAACGACACAGCTCGCGCTGTACAGGCATTAGTGACGCAGGTGTCTGGGCTCACCCAACAGATTCAACACCTTCGTCTTCCCACTGCGCCACCCGCACCGCTGAATCCTCCAACACCACCACCAGCGGACCCATCCCAGTCAGAGCCGCGCCTTCCTACTCCAGAGCCTTATGCAGGTGAAGAGAATTTTTGTCGAGCATTTCTGACCAGATGTACTATGCATTTTTCCCTGCAACCCAGGACGTTCCGCGAGGAGGCAACCAAGGTGGCGTTTGTATTGACGCTTCTGACTGGGAGAGCGGCGCTATGGGGGGCAGCGGTGTGGGAGAGCCAAGACGACTGCTGTTCCTCGTTCCAGAAACTCTCCGACGAGATGCGGCGAGTGTTTGATCGGGCCGCATCAGGAAGAGAGGCTGCCAGGGTGTTGACGGAACTGCGTCAGGGTGACAGATCAGTATCAGACTTTTCCATCGAGTTCCGAACCCTGGCAGCCGAGAGCAAATGGAACGAGGAGGCGCAGTGGGACATGTTCCTGCATGGGTTGGCTGACCGCATCCAGAAGGAGATCTACGCCCTGGACCTGCCCACCAAGCTAAATGATCTCATCGCGTTGGCGTTAAGAGTGGATGCACGTCTTTCTCGAGTCAAGAGCCGAGGTCAACACGATCGTTTCTCTGGAGGCATCGAGGGGCAGCGTTCAGGAGGCGAGGGAGCGGTCAGCCCTACCTACGATCACGAGCCCATGCAGGTGGGTCGAGCCCGGCTTTCCCGGGAGGAGAAGGAGAGGCGGAGATCCCTGGGCCTTTGTCTGTACTGTGGGGGAGCGGGACATTTGGCGTTTCATTGTCCGTTAAAAGGTCCAGCCCGACAGTAAGAATGAGGCTACTGTCGGGTGGGATCTCTGCCGAGAAGACCTCATCGACATCTACCTTCCTCCCGGTAAGGCTCCGATGGTCAACTCACCTCCACGATTGTCGAGCACTACTGGACTCTGGGGCGGAAGGTAATTTCATGGACCATTCATTTGCTAAGAAACTTCATATTCCCCTCAAACCCCTCGCACACCAGATTCATGTACACGCTCTCAACGGCCAAAGACTCCCCACTATCTCATGGATCACTGAAGACATCACCCTCATCACGTCAGGCAATCACTCGGAGACTATTTCCTTTTACATTCTGGACACTCCACTAGCCCCTATCGTTCTTGGTCACCCATGGCTCACCCGTCACAACCCCAAAATAGACTGGCAATTCAAATCAGTAGCATCATGGAGCAGTTTTTGTCATAAGTCTTGTCTTGTGTCTGCTTGTCCGTCTGTCTCTTCTCGTGTGTTACAGGAGGAAACAGTGGATTTATCAAACGTGCCCACGGAGTATCGGGAGCTGAAGGAAGTGTTCAGTAAGTCTCGGGCTGATTCTCTTCCTCCGCATCGTCCCTATGACTGTGCTATAGACTTATTGCCAGGTACGTCTCCGCCTAAGGGCAAATTATATTCACTCTCAGTCCCTGAGAGAGAGGTCATGGAGAAATATATTTCTGATTCTCTAGCAACGGGATTCATCCGCCCTTCCTCATCTCCAGCGGGGGCGGGGTTCTTTTTTGTGGGGAAGAAGGATGGATCGTTGCGACCTTGTATTGATTACCGGGGGCTGAACAACATCACGGTGAAGAATACTTATCCTTTGCCGTTGATGTCTTCAGCTTTCGAGAGGTTGCAAGGAGCATCCATTTTCACAAAACTGGATTTAAGGAATGCTTATCATTTGGTCCGCATCAGGGAGGGGGATGAATGGAAGACTGCATTTAACACCCCTAGGGGGCACTTTGAATATTTGGTCATGCCTTTCGGCTTGTCCAATAGCCCAGCGGTCTTCCAGGCACTTGTCAATGACGTGTTGCGAGACATGGTCGACCAATTCATTTATGTCTACCTGGATGACATATTGATTTTTTCTTCGTCTCTCCAGGAACATGTGCAACACGTTCGACAAGTGCTTCAGAGGTTGTTAGAGAATGGGCTTTTTGTCAAGGCGGAGAAATGCGTTTTTCATGCACAGTCTGTTCCCTTTCTAGGTCACATCATCTCGGTTGACGGAGTGCGCATGGATCCCGACAAGGTTAAGGCTGTGGTAGATTGGCCAAGTCCAGATTCCCGTAAGGCCCTACTGAGGTTTCTGGGGTTCGCCAATTTTTACCGGCGTTTTATTCGCAACTTCAGCCGCCTAGCCGCGCCTCTGACTGCCTTGACCTCCCCCAGAACGACGTTCAGGTGGTCAGACGCAGCGGAAGCTGCGTTTGCCAAACTGAAGGGGCGCTTTGTTTCGGCCCCCATCCTGATAACCCCTGATCCATCACGTCAGTTCGTGGTGGAGGTCGACGCGTCAGAGGTGGGGGTAGGTGCGGTGTTATCTCAGCGCTCTCCTTCAGACGAGAAGATGCATCCTTGCGCGTTTTTCTCGCACCGTTTATCCCCCGCTGAAAGTAATTATGACATTGGCAACAGAGAATTGTTGGCGGTCAAGTTAGCGTTGGAGGAGTGGCGTCACTGGTTAGAAGGGTCGGGGGTACCTTTTATCGTCTGGACCGACCACAAGAATCTGGAATACATTCGCACTGCTAAAAGACTCAATTCAAGGCAGGCTCGGTGGGCTCTTTTTTTTGGACGTTTTGACTTTACACTCTCGTACCGCCCGGGTTCCAAAAACATCAAACCCGATTCTTTATCGCGCATTTTTGACCGTTCCGATCGCCCGTCTACTCCCGAGTGCATTTTACCAGAGAATCTATTCATCTCTACACTCACATGGGAGGTCGAATCGAAGGTCAAGAAGGCCTTAGAAGGGGTAACGCCTCCGACTCGTTGCCCACCGAACCGTTTGTTCGTGCCGGAGAGTTTACGGTCCAGCGTCATCCAGTGGGGTCATTGTTCCAATGTGGCTTGTCATCCAGGAGTCAGTCGTACCATGTTTTTGGTTAAGCAACGATTCTGGTGGCCTCTCATGTCTCGTGACGTTCGAAATTTTGTATTGGCTTGTTCAGTTTGTGCCACAGGCAAGACTTCCAATCGACCCCCAGATGGGTTGCTTCAACCGCTGCCGGTGCCTTCGAGACCCTGGTCCCACATCGCGCTAGATTTTATCACCGCCCTCCACCCTCCCAGGGTCACACGGTAGTTTTGACCGTGGTGGACCGATTCTCGAAGGCGGCCCATTTTATTCCCTTGCCCAAATTACCTTCAGCCAAGGAAACAGCGGTGAGTGTCATTGACCACGTCTTTCGGCTTCATGGCCTCCCGACAGACGTGGTCTCTGACAGAGGACCCCAATTTGTGTCCAAATTTTGGCGAGAGTTTTGTAGACTGCTGGGGGCGACTGTCAGTCTCTCATCTGGGTTCCATCCCCAGAGCAATGGTCAAACTGAACGAGCCAACCAGGATTTGGAGAGAACGTTGCGATGTTTAGTGTCCAAGAATCCTCTTCCTGGAGCCAGCAGTTGTCTATGGTGGAGTACGCCCACAACACGTTGCCAGTGTCATCCACGGGCCTATCACCATTTAAGTGTAGTGTAGGTTACCAGCCACCTATCTTTCCTAGTCTGGAATCCGAAGTCGCGGTCCCCTCCGCCCACGCCTTCGTCCAGCGGTGTCGCCGCACTTGGACTAGAGCCCGTGAGACTCTACTCCAAGTGGGGGCGCGCACCAAGGTCAAAGCCGATCGCCACCGGCGGAGACCTCCCGTATACGTCGTCGGTTCTAAAGTGTGGCTTTCAACTAAGGACATTCCACTCCGTTCCATTTCGAATAAACTTGCACCCAAATTCATTGGCCCGTTTGCTGTCACCAAAATCATTAGTCCGGTGACAGTCCGTCTGAATCTTCCTCCAGTGTACAGGAGGATTCATCCCGTTTTTCACGTTTCCAAAGTCAAACCTGTCTTTTATGCTCGCATTAATCCGCCAGTCCCGGTTCCCCCCCCGCCGCGTCTCGTAGATGGGGAACCCTCTTATTCGGTCAATCGTGTGCTGGACTCGAGACGGAGGGGGCGCGGATTCCAGTACCTGGTGGACTGGGAAGGTTACGGTCCGGAGGAGAGAAGTTGGGTACCGGCCAGAGACATCCTGGATCACTCCCTTATCGATGATTACAATCGGCAGGTAAGGGAGTCTGGGAACGCCAGGAGGCGTTCCTAGGGAAGGGGGTACTGTCACGGTTGGTAAATCCTATGTCTTCTTCTCGTCTCGTGTTTCTGTTATTGTTGTGTGTGTGTGCGCTGATGGGGGGGCGTGCCGCTCTATCAGCGCTCATCAGCAATCATCACCACCAGCTGCAGTTAATCTTCTTGTGTATATATTCTCATCAACTTCTCATCTCCTTTGTCAGATCGTTGTTTGTGGTTCCCGGTGTGTTGTCTCCTGTCTCGCTATTCGTGTTCAGCTCTGGCCCTTGTTCTCTGTCATTTGGATTTGTTCATCGTTGGATTCACCACCACCATCACCACAGCACCCTGCACCGGACCATCGGATCCCCTGCGTCACTATCTCTGCCTGTTAATGGACTGTCTGTGTGTGTTCGTCAAGCTTATAATTAAATAGAGTTTAACTGCACTTGCTTCCTTGATTCATTCATGACAGCAGCAGCATTTTTGACATAGGTCTAAATGTTCATTCTCATTTAACTTCTACTCAGCCAACAGAAAGAAGGCAGATGCTCATAAAACAGGGGGAGGACCTGCACCACCACATCTGACAAATGCAGAGGAGAGGGCCCTGAGCCTGAATGCTGGAAGGTCAATGGCTGAGGGAATTCCTGGAGGGACTTCATCAGAGCCAGTCACTCCAGAAGATTTAAGTGCCTTCATAAAATGTAAGAGGTCTACCTACAGTATGTGTTATTTTTTTTATATAGACTAAATGTGATATTTCCATTCATATTACTTTGGGTTGGGTTTTTTGTTGGTCCCAACAGATTCTGATGGAAATATCTGTCTCTTGGAGTTGTCAGTAGTCTACTCAATACACCATCAAATATAACAAATAGTATTATAAAGTGTACTCTATGAAATGCTCATTTTCACAGGATGATGTGGATGAATAGTTTCTGCTGCCACAGACAGGCCTACAGAGGTAATATTGATATTATGTGTCTACACCTCACACAATCTACACATTCACATTTACATGTGGAATAGCCTATAAATGGTCATTCTTATCTCTACCTGAACAGGATGAGGAAGGTCCATCAACTTCTGGTGCACAAATGAACACAGTTCAATGATTTACAGTACTTGTATACTTGGACCGGCAGATCTGGAAATCGAGATTCTGAAACTAAAGCTAATCAGCAACTGATTAACGACTTATACAGAGAAGACGTATTAAAATGTAACTTATACAATATCACAATATCAGCCAAATTATCTGCATTGCAGAAAAACAATGACAACAACAACAACAAAAAATCGGAAGCCAAAAACCAATCAAAACACAATCTACAAATAAATGTAAAATCTGCAAACAGACTCTTCATTACATACAAATAAAAAATGTGATTTAGAACAAACAAACTCTTTATGTGTAACGTGCTGAGGAATGCAGGTGAAGTAAAGGCGAGGATCTAAGTTCAGAATTTTTTTGATTTTTTTGAAAGTAAGTGTAACACATAAACAGATAAATCGGAACAGAGGAACAAAACCAAGAGGATCAAAGAAACAAAAGCAACCATTACATGTATGACAACTGCCAAAGTAACAAGTGAAACACAAGGGCTATAAATGTTATGACAAAATAAAGCCATAATCATTGACAATGAAGAGACTATGAGTCAAAAATGCATATTACAATACCTCCTACATGGGTCATACATGAAATATTGCATAAATCGATTAAAACCTAGTATGAACCATGTAGAAGGTCAGTTTTAGGTCAGAATTATAATACTTAATAATGTCATTTTATTCAAGACAAGCTGAAGGTTAATGAGAAGCAGCTCACTGTTTTTCAATCTCATATAAACCAGGAATAAATTATACAGTAACATCTCTCTTCTCAACAACTCCCACCGTAGGCTGTGATGATTGAACACAAACGGCATGTCATCTTATGATCAATGTGAAAATATGATGTTAATGTCATGCAGGTGATGTGTCTGAACATTCATCTTCTGCAGCTCCAGTCGCTTCAACAACACTGACTCCAGTCAGAGGCTCAAACTCTGAGAAGAAATCAAGCCGAACTACAGCAGCAGCTCCAACACAAGGTGACAAGGTGCTCTCACTGACTGTTTTCAATATTTGTCATCACAAATATTATCTACAAAAAGCTCTTTAGTCAGATTTGTCAGTGAATTTTGACCGGTCTTGTACAGTATGTTGTCTGATGCAAAATAATCATTACAGCTAGTGTATCCCATGCCACTCCTATGATAAATTAATAAAATCATATTTTATATTTTATTGTAACATCGACTACAGCCATAGAACTGATTCCAGACACCACAGCAAACTCTGAATCCAGGTATGTGTGAACGAACTACAGCAGCAGCTCCTACGCACGGTTCATGACCACTGTCGCATACATCCACTTTGAAGGATCCTTCAATATGTGTGCATTTTAATGTTTTCATACAGGAAATGTTATATGTTTTAGATGTCGTCAATAAATAGATATTCAACATTTCAATGTTTCTGCAAACTTAGAAATGCAAGTGTGCTAGAACCTCACTTAAAGGGATACTTCACCTCTGGGAAGATGAATGTGTATTTAAAGCAGGGGTGCCCAAACTTTTTCCTACGAAGGGCCAAAAATCAAACTTGATTGTGGGCCGTGGGCCAAAAGTAAATTTTGCATCATAAATCAAACGGTATTACATTAAAGTTGCTATGGATTTATTTATTTTATAATATTTAAAATAAATATTAAACAACTTCACTGATTAACTAATGCAGTTTTATTTGTAAAGTTTTGCATTTTAAAGAAATCCCCTCCAGTGTTTCCTCTAGGATTTTTCCAAGCTGTGGTGGCAGGCCCATATGTGTATATGCGCATTATTCTGGCGCGCGTCTTTCTGCGAGTCTCATTCAGGACATCCAGGCAGCGCGCTCTCTTTTGACTTCTTGTCGTACAAAATGCAAAACGGCATTTTTACGAATAAGAGCGGGATCATGTAACACTAGTCAAAGGATGACAAAAAAGAAGAGATATCCTACTGTACTGCGTTAATATCCCTAATTTGTTTATTTCATAAAATCGTGGCATTTTGCGTTATATAGCCTACTAAACGCTATTATTACGATTGCTATATGATATGATTAATCGTGCAGCACTAATGCTTAGTGTATTCTATCTATGCAACAGTTTTTTTAGCCTTTTCTTTTAACATTTTTAAATTTCAGTTACGCAGTGCGCATGAAGAACAATTATAGCACTCGACTCCAGTGGACTTCATTATGTTTACTGTGGCGAGCAGGACGAGAGAGAGCCACGTGAGAACGGCGCGAGGCCGGTGGGGTGATTACCGATGAGTTGCACCTGTGAGGCGCACCGGTAAAGCAGATGATTCCGTTCCCAAACGGAATTCCTGTTCCCCCTCAACGAGGTGTGTCTACTGACACAGCGCATGCATAGCAGATCCCTCAAAGCACAGCTGGATGTACAGAAAGCGAAAAAGGCCAAAAGCAATGGTGCAACATTAACTGTCTTGCTACACTGCACCATAATAAAATGGTTCTTATGCTCCAGTAATATTTCTGTGAATGTAATTAATCTTGCACTTGTTCATAGTTTTAGTATTATGTATGAATTAGGGGTGTAACGATTCACTCGTTTTCTCGATGCATCGACTACATATCCTGACGATGCATATGCATTGATCGTGAAACATGAATTTTGAATCATGAAACGTTTATTTACGTGAATAATCGATTTAAAAGGCTAAGAATTAAATTAATCGAGATTCTATAGCGATTCAGTGGTTTAAAGTATATAAACACAACCTAAGTGTTCCTGGTACAACAAGCTGCCTCACGCATTGGCCGTAAGACACCCGCATTTGATTGGTTTCACGCGCTCACGTTTATCGCTGATAAGCGCACACGCTTGACGTTATCATGTGATCTAAGAGGTTATCACAAGCGCAATAGCTTAAAAATCATGAGCAACGGGTGTACCAACACCTGATTCATCAGTACCTCGACAACTATACCCATTACTGTCTTCAACACCAGCAAAATGTTTCCAATGTTTGTACAAAGGAGACGTCGGGCAGCTGCTAGAAGATCTCGCCTTAGGAGAAGACTATTGATTTCACACTCTAAATATGTAAGTACATTAGTAAATTTGTAAAAAAAAACAACAACAAAACATTTACCCAGAATGACTTGCCATGCTAGCTCACCCCAACACTTCCGTGCCCACCTACGCCTGTCTCTGCCGTCCATCAGGTCCCTGATTGCTGCAGTCAGACTGGAATCGGACCATAGATGGGAAAGGGACATTGAGGTGCTTGTGTTCCTCTACTGGCTGGCCCATGCAGCATCCTACAGGGTAGTGTCACAGACCTCTGATATCCCCAAGTCCCCTGTGCATGTTATTGTGCCCAGAGTGAGCAAGGCCATCATGGGAATTTTGAGGAGGGTGATCTGCTTTCCGACCGGAGATGACCTGGAGTCAGTGGGAGCAGGATTTGCACAGCTGTCTGGGTCACCAGCTTTCAGCAGAGAAGTTGGGGCAATAGAGGGCTGTCATATCTGTATTAAACCTCCATCAAATAACTCCCACTGTTACTTCAACAGGAAGCTGTTTCACTCCATCCAACTCCAGGCCATCACTGATCACCGGGGGAAGTTCCTTGATGTCTTTGTGGGATATTCTGGGTCTGTGCACGATGCCAGGGTGCTGAGGAACAGCCCTGTGTATGCGGGCAGCCTTTATCCACCTGCAGGCAAGTGCATCCTCGGGGATGGAGGCTATCCTTGCCTGAGTGCACCCATCTGCCTCATCACCCCCTACAGAGAGCCTGTACAGAACCCTGTGCAGGCTCGTTTCAACAGCAAGCACTCCCGTGCCCGCAACATCGTGGAGAGAGCTTTTGGGATGCTGAAGACGCTGTATTTTCTTCAAGGCCTTGGAAGTGAACCCTGCCTTCGTGCCTGAGGTTGTTGCGTGCTGTGCTGTGCTTCACAATCTTGCTCTAGTCAATGGGGACATCGTTGAACCAGAGGATGAAGAAGACCATGATGACGGCCCCCCCTGATCCCCACAACCTTGCAGCAAGAGTGGGAGAACAAGCGCCCAAAGCACGGCGTCTTCAGTAGAGCGTCTAGCGTTTTCAGCTGGCTAAAAATGCTTTGGTGGACACACAGCCTAAGGCTGGGGTAAAATGTGACAG